CCCCCTCCCCCTCCCCTTCCCCCTCCCCCAACTCAGCATCTTCCCTCCCCCACCCCCCGCTGACACCCGCCACCCACTCAACTCTACTCATCGCTAGCTATGGCCGACGAACGCCCTGTCATTGCCATTGACCCACTGCAGATCCCTGTGGTCGACTCTGGCGAATCTTACGTACGCTTGCTTGCCTTGTCAAGTTGGCCATGCCCTCCCCCGCCCGCGCACGTCGGGGGATCCGCTGCTGCTGACGCGTCGCCACGCCGAGGCGATGATGGATGAGCGGAGAGGATGGGGTGGATGGGGTGGACGTGAGAGTGGAGGGACTCACGATGAGAGGAGATGACAGTCGGATGACGGCAGCTCGGAGGCATCGTCGAGCAACCCATTCCCGGACTCGGACTCGGGATCTGACTCGGGCTCCGAGTGGGAGGACCAGTCGTCGTCCGAGGCCCAGGGCGCGGGATCGGACGGATCGGAGGCCGGTGAGGGATCGGAGACGGATGCCATTCCGGGCGAGTGCCCTGTGTGCGCGTACATGCGGGCAGGGCCCTGTGGTGTCGAGTACTCGGCCTTTGACAAGGTGTGCGTCAAGCGCGAAACTGAGGACATGCCCGATGAGTGCCAGGAGCACTTTCTGGCCATGCGGGAGTGCTTTGTCCAGCACAACGAGTACTACGGCTTTGTTCTCGACATGTTTGAGACTGCACTGAACAAGGACGAGGACGAGGGCGAGGGCGAGGCCAGCGATGAGGCCCAGGGCGAGGGCGAGAGCGAGGCGGCGGCCGAGACCGCGGCCGAGACCGAGACCGAGACCGCTGCTGAGGAGGTTGGTGATGATGACATCTAGATCTGTTTATCGTAATCTTTATCTTCATACCAGGCTGGTGAAGACGCGTGGCCGAACGACAAGTACCGCGGCAGCCACCGCCGCAGCGGCGGCTGCTCCCATGGCGACCGCTGCCGCCGCCGTCGACGAGCACCCGAGTACACTGGCGGTGACGCGCCCGAACCAGCGGGCCGCCCGTGCGACTGGCGACGCTGTGTTGGTCGGCATGGTGGCCACGATCTGGATCCGCGAGGTCAGAAGCCGCGCCGCAAAGGCGGCAAGTTCGTCGTTCGCCACCCCCTCGGACTCGGCATGCTTCCAAGACGAGTAAACGCTATCGATCTGGCCGAGCATGTCGTTCTTGGCCGAAATGGCCTCGACCCACAGCCGCGGTTGCTGCAGCGTGAGCCCGACGATGACTGAAAGGTGCGCAATCGAGGAGCTCACCGCCGTCTCGGAAAACGTAAACAGGCCCTTCTCGTCATCGGCGCCCATGATGTACCCGAGCCGATATCGGTCAATGAGCCCGCGGCACTGGTCGCTCAGCATCTCCAGCGCTGCGGTGTACGCCTCCATGCGAATGACGCCGTACGCCAACGATGGGTACTCAATGATCGTGGCGTTGTCCAGACTCTCTAGCTCCCACTGTGCGCCGACGAGGCCGTACCCGCGGAGGTCCGACTCAAACTGAGCGCACACCAGGTGTGTCCACACCGTGAGAAGCACCATGTCGCGTGCGTCAAACAGCTGGACAGGCATCAGGAGCGACATCGCTGCCCGTGGCGAGTCTCCGCCAAACTCGACCACTACTTCCTCACCCGGCGGAAGGTCCGGTGTAAGTCTGAGCGAGTTGCTCCCGTCTTGGACCAGGAGGCCAAGGGCCTCGGCGTCGGCCACTGCCGCGTCAAGCGACGCACACCTGTTCTCGATCGAGGCCAGATACTGAGCTCCGATGGCATGGAATGCATCGTCGTCAATAGCTCCCACCGCTGAGACAGTCACGCTCGAAGGTGTACCAAACGCCAGCCGCCGCAGGGCCTCACCAGCCGCCACGTCAGCGGCCGAGACCGTCGACGTCTCGTCAAAGGGGATCAGACCAAAGAGATGAGCTACGGCCGTTCCGAGCAGGCCGCGCTTGGGGAGCGATGTGGTACGGCCGTGCGAGAGCGCGTTTCGCGCCTTGGTCACCTGCCGCTTGACAGCCTTGTCGTGGATCCGTCCTGTCAGGTCTTTTCCCTGTCGCTTGAGCCATGAGCCGTCGAGCTCGTCCGGCGTCTCGGGTGGCACCGTTTCGGTCATCAGCAACCGGAGCATGACAACAAACCGCTGCAGGAGCGCATGCGGGATAGAGATGCCGATAAGCACGTCTGTATTGCTCAGCTCGACCGAAATCTCCGACACACCAAGCATCGACCGCTTGGTGTGGAGCTGCGAGAGGCCAGGCCAGCGCTCGGTGAGGAGCAGCTCCAGCCCCCGACACGCATCCTTGCACGCCTGCACGTTGGGCGCCGAGCCTGTGTCGTGCGCGACAAGGCTTCCGCGGATCATAAGCGCAACCTCGTGGCTCATCGACGGCAGCGCCATGCACACCACAGTCATGCCGTTGGCGTACGTCCGTGAGTTGGCAGCGTAGCCCATGAGCTGAGACGCCGGCGACGAGGTCGCCACCACTGCCGACGGCGGAGCCAGCTGGCCAGCTGCGTCGGCAAAGGTATCCTCGCCGCTGGACCGAGCGGCTTCGGAGATCCAGGCTGGTGCAGTGTGATTGGCCTCAAGCGCGTCGTCCACGATTTTCGAGTACTTGGCCATCGAGGCCGCGAGTGCAGCCTGAAGGACACCTAGGTTGTCGGCGACTCGGAACAGAGTGGTTGCCTCGTCACGCGACGACGAGAAAGCGATGTGGAGCGATATCTGCGACGGCGCCACGCTCAGCGCGGCCTTGACAATGCTGTTGAGACTCTCCAGGTCTGGACAGTCGGCCGCGGTGGCGTCGAGGCCAACCGCGGGTGTGTAGTCTTGCTCAGCAGTGAGGCCGATGACCCAGTCCTGGGTGAGATCGGCGACAGCATGCTGGAGACCAGTCATGGTCATGTCGTGGTACGAAATGACCGAGACAGCCATGCTCCGCTCAAGATCGAGCATACCGTCGCGGGCAAGGACGCTCACCACACCGATGAGCGAGTGGAGAACAGGTGGAATGCTGCCGTCTGCAACAGTGACCGTAATGATGGCCAAATCAAGGCCCGGTGCGCACCGGAGCTCGACGCCGGTGGAGAGCAGAGCGGCGCCATGGGCCATGGCCAGGCGCAGACCGACGGCCTGCTCGAGACAGCTCCGCAGTGCGGCGCGGCGCGGGGCAGACATGCGTGGCAGCGACGTGAGACGAACAATGAGCTCGACCGAGTCGTTGGGACCAGACATGACAATGACACGCGGGCGGTCGCCGAGCTGCGCGATGTGGTCTTCAAGGCTGTGCCACGAGGCCTGGTGACGGGCGGCGGGGGCAATGCTGTTGGAAGCGACGGCGGCACGGGCGGCGTCAATGCGCTCGACTGCGGGCGCAATCGAGGTTGTACAACGAGCCTTGTGCTTGGCCCAGTGACGATTCTGGCATGCCGACGAGCAGTACGTCGGCCCGCGGCATGACGAGCACCTGCGGCCGTGCTTGCCGCAGAGCACACAGGCGCGGTCATCGGAGGGGCCAAACCAAGCCGAGGCCAGCGAGATGACCCGCTCGGGCTCGACATCACCGACGACGACGAGTGCCATGTTGCTTGGCGTGTACCACTTGGCGTAGAAGGCGTCGGCAGCTGCGATGACCTCGTCGGGGTTGGCACTGATGGCGTCGCCAAGTTCGGCCAGCCGGGTCTCCCCTAGCGACTCGCTTCCCGAGTCGCGGAGGCCAACAGCGGTGAGCTCGTGCCTGCCCTCAGCCGACGATCCATTGGCGAGTGTGTAGTACGCATCGTGGAGATGGTCGACGGTGTACGCGGGGTGGCGGACAAGGTTGGCGAGGAGGGCAATGGCCTTGTCGACGGCGGCAAAGGGGACAATTACGTCGAGATGAACGGTGGCATAGGCGAGAGCGCCGACATTGAGTGAAGTTGACCAGGCCGCCATCAGCGAGTCCACATCGCCCGGTCCGTATAGTGTCGATGCCTGGACCAGCAGATGTGGGACGAGGGCCGAGAGAAAGGGTACCTCGGGCGGCTCGGCCCCAGCACCCCCGCCCACCACCAGCCGCAGCAGCGCCTCGCCTGCAAGCGTGCCTGACGAGGCCACAATGACCTCGGTCCCGGATGCAAGAAGCTTGTGCATCGAGGGTGCGAGGAGAGTGTGTGTGTGGGGAGCGGGTTGGGAGGACAGGGGGGGGGGGGGGGGGGGAGTGGGCGGGACTCGGGTGAGACGGACATGGAGGCGACGTGGGGGGCGAGGGCAGGGCGGGCGATGATCGGGAAAATGCAGTGATGGTTTAAGGGTAGCATAACGTGGTGTTCAGCATGTGGAAGCTGCTTGCCGAGGGCTAGGCAGGGGGGGGGGGGGGTAAAACGCCCATCGCCGTCACGACGATGGCTTGATCTGCTCGAGGAGGGTGCGGGCCGGAGAGACAACCTTATCGGCGGTGTCGGGGCCCCAGAAGGCGAGCTGGTTCTCGTAGAGGCCGTTGATGTGGTCGTAGGTGCGGGAGGAAGGGAAGTAGCCACCGTGGGCCTCCGAGTAGCCCCAGATCATGGCGTCAGTGTAGCCCATGGCCTTCATGTCGGCGCGGAGAGCGTCGCCGGGAGTGGTGAGGAGCTCACCGGGGATGGTGACGGCACCGATGTGCTTGTCGCCGATGTCGAATCGGGCAGCAACGTACCACGGGTTCTCGTCGAGCCACTCCTCGTCGAGGTGGAGGTTCGCGTCACAGTCGAGGATCTCGCAGAAGGAGCAGATGTCAAGAGGGCCGCCGCGGGTGCAGTTGGCCATGCGGGCGAGGGTGAGGTTCATATCGGTCTTGCCAAGCGGGTTCTGCACAAAGGCGGTGGTGATGGTGACGTCCGCAGTGGGTGAGAGGGCGGCGCGGCGGGCAACGACGCGATCGGCCATGAGCTTCCCACCCACAAAGTTGGACTCGGACTCGGAGCCGCCGTTGCACATGCCCGGCGCCGGGTCGACGTCGCCAGCGTCGGCGTTGACGAACAGAGCCACGCCGCCGACGGCGGCCTCGATGGCGCGGCAGCCTGCGCCGGCCAGGTCGGACGAGAGCTTCATGTTGGACGGCCCGTAGCAGACCGAGTGGAAGGCGAAGTTCCAGACCGTGGCCATGACCGAGCCGTCGGCCTTGTTCACAGCGATGACGCCCATGTTCGGGTCGATGTGGTCCCGCGCGAGCCACGGCACATCCTTGGCGCAACGGTTGACCGTCAGGTTGTACACCATCTCGATGCCGATGTCCATGACTGCCGGCTCCATGGCGGCGTGCGCCTCCATGATGGTGGCTGCAATGTTGGTGGCAAGCTCCTGCTGGAGCTCGTAGACAAGGAGATCCGTCGCCGGCGCAAGCGCCCACAGCATCCGCGGCGAGATGGCGCCCGGCCCCGAGTGAGTGTGCGACGAGGCAAAGACAATGTTCTCGATGGTAAGCGTCGAGCCGGCCTCGCGGATTTTCTCGATCACGATCCCATTGAGCGTCTCGTCAGATCCGATGCCATCAAGGGTGACAAAGGCAAGCTGGGTGCCCTTGCCGTCGTCTAGAATGAGCACCTTGCACCACGTGGGGTCGATGATGCCCACAGACGGCATCATGAACGTCGTGTACTTGCGCTTTTGCGGCAGCGGCCACTTGGGCACCCGCCGGTCGCCGTGGTTGTATCCAGCGAGCGGAATCCCGATCGGCAGCGAGACTATAAACCGAGCCGTGACATGCGTGCGTGCGTACGTTGGTGTGTGTGTGTGTGTGTGTGTGTGTGAGAGAGAGAGCGTGTGTTGTGAGAGCGTGTTGCGGTGCGCAAAAAAAAAAGCAGCGCACATGCACGCGGCAGCTTCAACCTGCCGCCGTCCGCCTCTCCTCCCTCCCCCCCCTCCCCCTCCCCCTCCCCTCCTCCCTCCTCACGGCCGCCCCAACTCGGAACACGTACCATCCTTCTTGGCAGCACCAGCCATGAGAGTACCAATGGCAGCAAGGGTGGGCTTGGGAGTGTGGGCTGCAAAGGCAGCGGCCAGGAGGCCCGCCATGGCCAGGGAGAGTGCGACGAGAGCAAGACGCATGTCGCAAGTTTGTCGGTGAGACAGGTGGCTCTCGGGCCAATCCAAGGTGGTCATGTACTGTGCTGTTCACTTTGAGGCGGGCGACAACGCGCCCGAGCAATCGCACGTACCGTCAAGGGGTATTAGACCAGAAAGTGCGGGAGATGCAGGAGGAGGGCGCGATCTGCATCTTCGGACCAGCGGTTGTACGAGGCGACGTCAATGTCGAGGACGAGGACAAGGGTCTTAAAGTGGGCTTGGATGACGGCCAGGCCCTGCTCGGCGGACTTGGTGCGGCGGGCGGCGAGCGGCTCGCGGAAGTGGTCGACGATCTCGGTGAGGTTAAAGACCAGCGAGCTGTCGAGGCCGCGGATGGCGCCTGCGACGCGCTTGCCGGCAACGCCTGCGGCTGTGTGTTGGAGGAGTGCTGGAAGCGCGGCGATGGTGGGCGCTGCCGTGTCCGCCAGGAGTAGAAAAACCTCGTCGTAGACGGCAGACGACGGCAGAAAGTCGGCACCGTGCTGTATGATCATATTGAGGATGAGCATGGCATTGCCAACAGCGAGCCCAAGCGGCCCGCCCTGGGCCACACTCAGCTCGGCGGCTGCACCGGCCAACGACGCCAGCATCTCCAGCAGCAGCGTGACCATGCCGGGCCACGCCACGTCGAGCCGTGCCTTGGCCCGACGCATGAGGTACAGGACGCGGTGGACGCAGCCGAGACAGCGGCCGACAAGATCGAGCGGCCAGTGCATGACGGGCAGCTGGCGGGCGAAGGCCAAATGCTGCGCAGCGGACTCGAGGGTGGCGCCGAGGATGTGTATGGCTAGCGGCGCCCTCGCACGAGCGTCGCCCAGGACTAGGCCGTGCGACTTGTCAACCAGGATGCGGCCGAGCTGCCGCGACTCGAGGAGGACCTGGACGCCGACAAGAACCATCGACTGGCAGGCGACAATGCCGTCGTTGGCCTGCGGGAGCTGCAAAACCTTGCGCGCGTAGACCACAAAGGCGGCGGCCATGTCGAGGCGATCAAAGCCGAGTCCGACCCGAGTTTGCGGTGCGACCGGAGCACTGCGCATCGCGCCAGCTTTCCATGTCGGAAGCCAGGCTTTCCAGCCCCTTGCAGGCGGCGGCGGCGCTGATGGCCCAGCACTGCCGTCAGAGGCGGCGATCGAGGAGACAGCTGCAGCGGCTGCGGCGACCGACGCCGCAAGCTCCTCCTCAAGCAGGACGCCGACGTTGCGGTTGGCGGTGAGGAGGGCGACAAGGAGAAAGGCCGGCGGGAGAAGAAGTCGCGGTGTCGAGGCCGCAGCAAGAAGCGCCGCGAGCGACGGGAGGCTCTCGGCCTCGGCGGCCGAGAGCACCCGTGTCGAGCCACCCGCGTGCAGCCGCGGTCTTGCATGCGGTTTGGAGAGCCTCGCCAGCGAGAGGACTGAGGCACCGACGGCCGAGATGCGAGAGGTGAGCGAGGGCCGCGGTGGGCCGGCCGTGGGCGGCAGGGTCGCCGGCGCGTCGACTAGCGCCTTGCCCAGCTTGCTCAGTGCAATCTTGACGCGGGCACGGACGAGGTCGAGGAGCGGGGTGAGTGACGATTCGCGATCGAGGGTAGCCAGTTGGGTTCGAAGCGCAGACTCGCGTTCGTCACGCATGTGAGAGAGCAGAAGCGTGAGCAGAGTGGCGACCGGCGCGCCGGCCTTGACACGCAGCACCGGATCGGCAAGCGCCACCAGCAGCGGACCGAGCACATCTTCCAGCTGAAAGTACTCGAGCAGTGTGTTCTGATCCAAGAGCGGTGAGGCAGTAGCCAGCGTCAGCGCGAGCTCAACTGCGGCGGCGAGAACCTTGGTTGGCGGGCGCGGCGAGGCCGCCGCCAGCAGCCGGGCAACATCTTGCAGGAGGCCGACAAACAGCGAGTCAACAGCTTCAAACGGCGCCAGCCGCGAGAGAAGCTCATAGCCGATGAACACGTTGCGTGATCCACGGGCCTCGGCCTCGGCAGTGATGACGGCGTTGACAACCGCGCTGAGGGTAGCGAGCGCGTTGGCGGCACGCGTAGCCACCGGCTTCTCCGCCGGCGCTTCGATCGCCGCCGCCGCGTGGAACACTGCCGCCGCCACCAGAGCATGCAGTGGAAAGTCCGGCTTGGCAACAGCGGCGGCCAAGACGTCGACATCCACCTTGAGCATCAGCAGCGTCGGCCATGGCGGCGAGTCGGGCGGCGGCGGTGGGGCACCGGCCTCACCCTTGGTCAACCCAAGCAGCAGGGCACGGTACTTGCTTGCTCCTCGGCGTCCAGAAGCCATGAGATGAGAGAAAAAGAGGGAATGTGGTGTGTATGTATGTGTGTGTGTGTGTGTGTCTCTCTCTCTCTGTGTGTGCGTGTGTGTGGAGGCGGGAATGGGCTTGGTGTCTGACGAGTGACGGGTGACGACCGCCAGAAGGGGGAGGGGGGGAGGGGGGGGAAGGGGAACCGGGATGGAGAGAGTGGTCGCCACCGCCACCGCCACCGCCACTGGCAGCGCACACGTCTCGCAGACACATACCATGGGCTGCAACGGGTCGAAGAACAGGGGTACGAACTGCTTAAGATGACTACCACTTGTGCCATCCCCTTCCCCACCTCATCCTCTGTATCCTCACTCACTCCCTCCCTCCCTCCCCCCCCTCCTCTCCTCCTCCCCTCCCCCTTCCCCTGTCCCTCCCCCCTCCTCGCCACCTACAGACATCCAGGAGTCACGGACACGGGTCGAGTCGACCAACACCTCCACACAGGCACGCCCCGCAGGTGCACAGGGCGCATCGTCACAGCCTATTGCCAAGTATGTTCTCCCTCCCCCCACCCTCCCCCTCGTTCACCCATGCCCCCCCCCCCTCCCCTCCCTCCCCCCCCCCCCCCCTCCCTCCCCCTCCTGCCTGGGCTGCGAGTCACATGCGGGTGACTCGCACCATCAGCCACAAGCCACCATCGTCACCGAGGCTCAAGCCAGGACATGTCTACTCCCCAGGACCAAGATGCCGAGGCTGAGACTGTTGCTGTTGTTGCCCATAGTGCTGCTGCTGCCACCTTTTCCTCAGCTACCCCACGCCCACACTCACCCCTCCCTCCCCTCAGCCGCCACGATGCGGTGCTGCCGGACGACCAGATGGGCCGCTCGCCGCATGACATGCGGTTTGCTGAGCGCGAGTTCTTCTCTCACGTTGTGGAGCAGACGGCGTCGTCGCTGATCGACATCTCGCAGACGCCCGAGTTTCTGTCAGCCGAAGACGCGCGGATGCGCGAGGCCGACTACGCATCGCTGCTGGCAACGGTGCAACCGGCGCCGGCGCTGCAAGCACTGCTTGCACTTCCGGCCGAGTCGAACGCCAACGCCGACCCGGCAGCAGTGCTGCAGGAGACGACCGTGGCGCCGGCGCTTGCCGAGCTCGGGGCCGAGGCTGTCGACGCCGTTGCCGCTGCCGTCGCCGGCATGGCCGTCGAGCCGATGGGCGACATTGTGATGGCGCTGCCGGACATCCAGGTCAACGCGTAGAGGGTAAACTGCCACTCAAGGAGGCATAAGTAGGCCATAAGTAGGACAGCCGTACATCAATAGCATTCAATGGAGATCAGAGAGACCAGCCTTAGTCGGTGCGCTCGGAAATGGCAGAGAGGGTGGCGATGCGCAGGGACTCAAAGACCGAGGTTACCTGCTGGATCTCAGCATCACGCTGCTTGTCCATGGCCTGAGCGAATGCTTGGAGCTCGTCGGCAGAGAACCCCTCCCAGTTCCTCGAGTTGTCCTTTCCGCTCTCGGCCTGGCCGAGGTAGGCGGCATCGTCCTGGACCTCGTTCTCCTCCATGTACTGCAGGAACGACGGCTTGGCGCCACCGGCGCTGGCGGCGGCGGTGCGGGCGGGCGCAAGCGACGCGCCACGGATCATGGTGCCGGACTCATCGTCCGAGTCGTTGAGCACCATGGTGCCGGCGTTGTAAAAGTCGTCGTCGTCGTCGTCGGCTGCTCCCGCGCTTGACGGCGCCCCCCGCCAGGATTGATGACCATAGTCCCGGCGTCAAAGGAGTCATCATCGTCGTCCGAGTTGGCGACGATGATCATGGTGCCCGAGGCGTAGTCCTCGCCCGACGGGTCCCACGGTGCGGCTTTGGCCTTGCCGCCAGCGCCGGTGCTCGATGACAGCAGCGCCTTGTGCAGCTGTGCCGAGCCCTTCTTGACCTTGGCGCGCATGGCCTTGTTCTCCTCGACAGCCTTGAGGATCGAAACAATCCATGCCTTGCGGACCGAGGCCGAGTCTGCCGCCATGGGATACGTCCTGTTCCGTGTATGGATCTCAAAGCCAAACTTCTTCCTCTTGTGCACGTCGGCGATCTGGACCTTCCGGATCTCTGCAATCTTGATCACGCCCTGAGGCTGGGTCGACTCCTTCACCGCCGCTGTCCGCCACCGCATCCCGCATCAGCATCCGCCCCCATGTGAGTCTCTCCCCCTTCCCCACCTTGGACCATGACCGCGCCAAGGACGGTCGCCAAAAAACGAACGGCCCACCTGCACGCCCCCACAGGGAGACGACGGGGAAGGGGGCTATGGCAGGGTAGAAGGGAAAGAGACAGTACCACCCACCAAGGAAGGGATATACATGCATGGGTATGGCGTCTCTGCTCGCTGTACGTACCCGACTTGAAGTACAGGAGGAAGGCCCGGTTGAGAACCATCCACCGCTTCTTCCACGTCTTGATCCGGTTGCCCTGCTTGAGCAGCCAGCCCTGGCGGATAACCTCGTCCGTCTGCAGTTCCACATTCTTGAGCGCAGAGCCCAACTTCTTCTTTCTCCGGAAGGACATGCTGTCCCCACCGGCGCCTCGACAAGAAGCGTGTTGCCCTCGCTCTGCACGCGGTCGCTCTCGCGCCCGTTGCCCGCCCGCCCGCTCGCCCTCCGGCCAATAACCAACCAACCGATCGATCGACCTCGTCCTCCTTCGATTAACTCTCGTTCAGATATTCGTTCCTCCCTCTCCCCCCCTCCCTCCTCCCTTGCCGCCCACCCGACCGCAACTGTCCTCGATCCCGATACTCCCTCCACATGTCCATCCCCTCCCCCTCCTTCCCCCCTCTCCCCGTCCTTGATCAACGACATCGGCCACCCTGATGTCGACCAACCGTTGGCCATGGCAGCGCCGACGTGGCCAACTCGGCCGAGTGACTCGCTCGCCGAGGCGACGCTGCAGCGGCGGTGTCTAGACGGTGTCGAGGCCATAGGGCTACACTAGACTCTGTAGCTCCGGGAGAAGCAGAAGCAACATGTTCCGCATGGCAGGTGCTTCGTTTGCGCGCCCCACGCCTGCGTGGGCAGCCATGATGTACGCACCTTGAGCTTGAGCATGTGTCGGTGAGGGTGAGGCGGAGGGGGGCGTTGAGGCATTTTTTGAGTGTGTGCTGGGGAGGAGGATGGAGGGAGACTGATGGCGGAGAGTGGCGATGGAATGAGTAGGTGGCGGCGGATGTACGCCGACCTGCCCGAGCACTACAAGATCACCATGCCTGCCCTCTCGCCGACCATGGAGGCTGGCAATCTGGCCGAGTGGGAGGTGGCCGAGGGTGAGGAGATCGCCAGCGGAGACGTCATGGCCTCCATCCAGACCGACAAGGCCACGCTCGACCTGGAGAGTACTGAGGACGGGTACGTTGCCCGGCTGTTCAAGGAGGCCGGGACGGAGAACATCCCGGTTGGTGACCTCATTGCCATCATTGTCGAGGAGGAGGACGACGTGGCGGCGTTCAAGGACTATGACCCCGCGTCCGACGCTGGCGACGCGAAGCCGGCGCCCAAGGCTGACGACGGTGCTCCCAAGGCGGCCGACGCTGCGCCCAAGGCGGCGGATGCCGCGCCTGCCGACGCCAAGCCGGCAACCGGCAAGGCTGCTGCCAGCAACCGCGTTGTTGCCTCGCCGCTGGCCAAGAACACGGCGCGCGAGTCGGGCGTCGACCTCGCGGGCATCCGCGGGACCGGTCCGGGCGGCCGGGTCGTCCAGGCCGATGTGCTGGAGGCTGTGGATACTGGCTCGCAAAGCCAGGTTGTGGCGTCAGGCGCGGGCGCTGGGGCGGTGGCGTCGGGTGCGGCGTACACCGACGTGCCGCTCGACAACGTCCGCCGGGTCATTGCCCAGCGGCTGCAGGAGTCCAAGCAGACCATCCCGCACTTTTACCTCTCGGTCGACGTCACCCTCGACGAGCTCCTCGAGGTCCGCTCCGAGCTTAACGCGCAGGGCAAGGACGAGTACAAGCTCTCGATCAACGACTTTGTGGTCAAGGCCTCGGCGCTCGCCCTGCAGCAGGTGCCCGAGGTCAACTCGTCGTGGCAGGGTGACTTTATCCGCCAGAACCACTCGTCGGACATCTCGGTGGCGGTCGACACCGGAAAGGGCCTCATCACCCCCATCGTCGACGCGGCCGAGTCGCGCGGCCTGGTCTCGATCTCGCACAAGGTCAAGGACCTTGCTGCCCGCGCCCGCGAGAACAAGCTCGCCCCGCAGGAGTACCAGGGCGGCACCTTTACCATCTCCAACCTCGGTGCCTACGGCGTCTCGCACTTTACTGCCATCATCAACCCGCCGCAGTCGTGCATTCTTGCTGTCGGCTCGGGCTCCAAGCGCGTTGTGCCCGACACCTCGTCCGAGGCCGGCTTCAAGGAGTCGAACGTCATGACCGTGACTCTCTCGTGCGACCACCGCGTCGTCGACGGTGCTGTCGGCGCCCGCTGGCTGCAGGTCTTCAAGAAGTACGTCGAGAACCCGCTGTCGATGCTGCTGTAGCCCATTGAATCATGCTTGGAAAAAGGCCGCGCGAGCGCCGCCGTCACGGCGCCATCGGCGCCAGCCGCTGCGCCCGGGATGGGCTGGGCGAGCCAGCCGCGAGCTTGCGCTGCTGCCGCCGCTGCATGACAGCGTATCGTTCGGCAGGCGACAGACCGGCGGCGACAAGCACGTCGGTGGCTGTCGTCCGCGACGAGGGGGCGTGCAGCGGGCGGAGCGGGGCGAGCGGCGGCGCAAGCCCTGGCGGCGACGACGTCGGCGACGACTGCGAGACGCTGGCCCGCGCTCGGAGCGCGACAACGCCGGCAGCCATATCGTCGTCATCATCGCTAGCGCCTTCTCCGCCCAGTTCGCGGCTGGCAGAGAGCTCGGCCGCGATGTCAAGCGACTCGGGCAGCTGCGGCTCGTGGTGGAGGGCGACGAGGGAGAGCGATTCGTTGCCCATCGAGTCGCCGTCGGGATCAGAAAACGTTGAAGGAGAGATGGGTGAGGTCGGCGAGAGCGAGGTCGGAGGCGGCGAGCCAGCATGAAGCTGGGCGACTTCCGGCGGAGGCTTGGCGTCTGGTGGGGGCTCAAGGAGCAGATCGTCAAGTGTGAGGTGATGGGCGCGGACCCGGTGGGTGGTGAGGACCGGCGGCGGTGGCGAGGCCGAGCCGAGAGAGGAGTGTGAACGGGGCGGGTGGTGCGAGGGCGAGCGCGAGGGCGAGCGCGAGGGCGAGCGTGACGGCGTCGCCAACCGTGGGTTGGTGGAGAGCGTTGCGCCGTAGCGCGAGGGCATGACCCGGATCGGCGAGTCGAGCGAGGCCGCAAAGGCGTGCGGCGCCTTGCCCAGGGCTTGCAGCTCAACCTCGGTGATGTCAAGGCAGCACGGCTCGCAGACGCCAGCTTCACGGGCGAGAAACGCGGGATCGCGGCGGAGCATGCGATAGTCGAGTGGCGTGAGCTTTGGCTCGAGCGCGAGAATGATGCGGGGAATGCCCGGGGCGAGGCTCGACGAGGCCGAGCGGCCAGGCGAGGCCGAGGTACGGCGGTGGTGGGTCATGACTGCGCGGTAGGTGACCGGATACAACCGGTTCTTTTCGACAGGATGCAGGCAGGCCGGGCATGGGATGTAGTTTGAGCGCTTGGACGACTTGCGGCGGGTGGTGGCGGCGGTGAGGCCCTGCAGACGCGAGCGGCGACGGGCAAGCGCATCCGAGCCGGAGCGCGTGTCTGTGGCGCGGAGCGAGAGGGCGACAGTACGGATGTCTGAAGGCATGCCGATCTTGCCGACCTTGGACTCGACGTCGAGTGACGAGAAGTAGGTGAACCAGAGGCGGTCTGCGGCGTCCTGCTTGACGTTGAACACCATGCCGCGGACGACGTACGATTGCGGCGAGGCAGCGGTGATGTGGGCGGCCAGGTGCTCGGCCATGGCCTTGAGGCGCTTGTTCAGATTGCGGTTGTTGAGGACCACGGGCAGCGAGTCGTGCAGTTCGCCTTCGTGGGTCGCTCCGCGGGCGTTGCGGGTGATGCGGAGCTCGGAGAGCTTGTGCACCGAGTCGCGGCGCTCGATGTCGAGCATGTCCGGCGCCCATGCCACACGCAGCGTCGAGTTGTACGCCCCGCGCGGCGCCACAAACCTTTGCACTATGCCGTTGCGTGGCAACGAGTCGTACAGCAGCGTCCGGAGCGAGGCCTTGTCGTGGAACTCGGCGCAGGTGAACGGCTCGCCGTCCGAGTTCTCCTCGGTCGTGATCGAGTACGCCACAATGTCAAAGACCACCGCCGAGCGGTCGACCTTGATCAGCTCGCTGTATACCTCGTCAGTTGTGGTCTTGGCTGCCCGCTTGCGCATGATCGAGCCGGTCTTCTTCGAGGTAAAGTAGTAACGGTCGAGTCGGCCGTTGCGAATGACCAGCGTGTCCGGGATGCGGACCGAGGCCGAGGTATAGGTCTGTGGATGCTTGGCCCACAAGTAGTGGTACGCGTTGTCGACATGGCCCGCACCATGCCCATAGTCCAACGGCGGAGCGCTCTGTCGCCATCTCCGCGACGTCGAGGTCGAGACTACGGCCTCGACCGACAACGGGCCGGTCTCCTCCTCCTCCTCGGCCTCCTTCCCGCCTCGCCCATAGCCCATCGCCTTGCTTCTCACCGACCACAACGAAGATCCCGATGCCCTCAACGAGGCCATGCCTCTTTGCTGTGGCAAGAGAGATGTTATGCCTGTGAACTGTCGTCAGCTCGGGCGAAGGAGGTGCGCGTGGCAAGGGAAGCGGCATGGAAGGCACCGAGCCGGCCTAGTCGGAGGCAGCCACACACTTGAGTCAGTATGGAGAACCCTCTGGATCTGCTGCGGCTGGCGCTGAACGAGCGGGTGGTGGTGAAGATGCGGGGAGAGCGGGAGCTTGCCGGGAAGCTGCATGTACGTGTTGTACATGGGCGTGTGTGTGTGTGTGTGTGTGTGTGGTGGGAGGGGGGGGGGTG